TGGACTTTAAATTAGCTGACCTAAGGAGACCTTGAGCTGAGCTATTTTACTTTTGTTAGTGTTTATATGCCTCACAGCAATTTTTTTCCTCCTTGCCCTACTCCTGCTTTCTCAATTTTGTAAATTCTGACAATGTACAAGATTTGTAATCCCCTTGTGGCAATGTAGGCACATGCAGTATTTGAAGAAGCAGCAATGTGAAACCTTCTATTAGGTAGGTAATGCCAACTATTAAAATCTTTTATTCTTTTAAAAAAGAAAATGGCAGTCTCCACATGAGTGGAAGATCCAATTGCCTAATTAACTTCAAATCCTGTCACATATTGCATTTTTTGGGTATCTTATTTTCTGGGGAAACTCTCATTTCTAAACTTTTTCAAAAGAAGTGTATAAGTGAAGTCCAAGCAGAAATTGTTTGTGTTTAAGATTGTAGAAGTGTAAAGAGAGACTTTGTCTGGAAGTCTGAATGGGTTTTGATGAAAATATTGAAGTTAGATTAATGCTCATTTATGACCAATCTGGATTTCCCAGATCCTGATCATAAATATTATTGTTGCATGTTTCCATTAGTTGGAGCTTTTTAAATGTATTAAGTTAGTTGGATAATTGTAAGTTCTATACTTGGGTTTGTACTCTATATTTATAGTTAAATTCTGGGAAAGCATGTTTTATTTAAAAGTTTTTTTATTTGTTCCTGTCTGTCTTCTAAAATACTCATATCTAAAGATATTATTAGTGACAGGAATGAGCAATAAATATAATGGGATACCAGATATTTCTATAAATCATTCAGACATCAAATAGTATCATTATTTGGCTTGTATTCTTTGAATTATCATACCATTCCATCATATCTCAAATCTGTCTACCTACAGAATTGATATAGAATAGATTGTCAAACTCCATGGGAATAGATAATCAATAAATGATCATGATACAAAATATATCTCAGTAATGTAACGCCAATATTTCAACAAAATAATAACACAATGACATTATTTATAGCCTTATTTTTACTTAGAATTTTAAGCTTAAGAACTATTTAAGTATGCATTTGCATAGTACCCATAATATAATTTTACTGGATTACTACAACAAAACATCAGGGAAGATATTCTCTTTGCATCCATCTTATATTTGGAAAAGCAAATAGGTTAAGGGAATAAACAAAGTTTACAGAACTAGTTATTGAATAGTTGGAAAAAGAACTGGACCATTCTAATGTGCTAACTATGCTTTATTCTCTTTGGCATATTCTTCATGTAATCATTAAGAATATACTATTATGTAATTACAGTTGGAAACATTAAAAAGGGAAGCAACTTTCACAAAATCACTATTGTAGATAATGGACCAAGCTCAGAGGAATTTAACTTTCAGAGCTATGTCACTTGTGTGTAGCTATGGGTAAATGAAAGAAAGATTAATAGCAGGAAGAGAGCAAGGGGTAGGGGGAGGGAAGGGGAAAGAGAGGTACTGGGGTCTGAATGTATTCCATGCTTATATAATTATGTCAAAATAAATTATACTGTTATTTATACCTCAAAACAACCAATAAACAGTAGTAAGAAATATTTTGTATTTGTTTAGAAGCATTTGAAATTGTTGATATTTCCCTGACTTTGACAGGGGATAAATTTTTCGCATGTAAAAGTTACTACAATTTTTTAAAATATATTGACTTTACAAATTTTTGCGGTTAATTGTTATCTAAACTTGGTGGGAACACTTCTGCATATTGAGTCTCTGTCAACTTTTACTATGAAATGATGAATCTGATTTTTAATGAGTATCGATAACTAATCTTTTTATACTGAATGTCATATAAATAAAATTATAAATCACAAAATAATTCTTTATCTAATTGATTTTTATTTTGCAAATTGAAAAATCATGGTGTACATAAGAAGTTCTTCACTGTTTAGAAACTGGATATCTGTATGTGTGGAATGAATGTAGAGATGGATGGGAAGTATGAGATGGATATAAAGATGGATGGATGAAGAGAGAGTTATTGAACAAGCCACACAGGAAGGGAAGAACATGGGGGGGTTATAAGAAAGCACCCCTTTAGATTTATATGAAGCATAGAGAAAATAATATGAATATTTCTATAAAATCAGTTTTCCAAGTTGAAAGGAAAGTGCATAGTAAGGACTTTTATTTGACAATCCTTAAAACATGTGTCTCTATAAATACAGAAAACAACCCAAAATACATAATAAAAGTTCTGTCAATCAATAATGTGAGTGCGTGTGTATGTATGTATATGTGTATGTATATGTGTATATATATATATATATTTTACGTGTAACAACGAGTTTTCAGTATTGCATTCTCTCCACTGACTTGACCAGGTTGGCTAAGCTGATTAGTAGCTTTAATGTGCTGTGACTGTGTCTAAATTTTCTTCAGCCAGGATCTAGAGTCAAGTCCTTCAGCTAAGTCCTTTTTCCTAGACCTTCCTGATGGACAGACAGACATTGTCAGGAATTCACCAGCTGTGACTTCATAGAATGTTGTTTGATATGTGAGAATATATTGCTTATGGTGAACACATTCTCTGACAAGTATCCAAAGCAAATTTAGGTGTCCATAAACCCACTAAAGATGTTTTTTTCTGTAAGCTTTCTTTGTTGTAATAATTTTAGAGATATCCAAAAATGTTCCTTCCCTCTTTGGCTATAATTATTTCCCTATCTGTCCTCTTTCCTCCTGTGCCTTTACTTACCCACTCTTATAATACCATATTAAATGTTTTCATTTGGTTAGAATTGGGCATAACTAATTGTCATATGCTTTTTTATGGTCTAATATGATTTTGAATTTTTAAAATTCTCATAATGAAACAAGTTTGAACATATCTTAGATAATGAAAGAAAATGTAACCATCATTATAAAAAAAAATCTCTGAGAAAGTTTTGAACAGAAGAGATGAAAACAGTTAAATGGGGAAAAAAGTGGAAGGTATTAAGCTTTAGTAAATATAGATGCAATAAAATAGAAATTTAGAAATTTGAATAAAGGAATGAAATTGCACTGTGGACATGAAGTGTGTTAAAAACAACAATAAGGAAATACAGTTTCTTTGTGACTCACATGTGACATTATTTCAGTGAATACTTAAAAGCTGTACCTCACTTCTTTGATTTTTAAAAACTATTCCTTTATATAACCTATTTATTTACTCTTGAAGTTGTCACTGATTTTGTTCATACTCTGATGTGTCAATAAGGCAGTACAGGCTTTTTCTAGAACCAAATTTTTGTGTGGTCCACTAAAAGATAATCAACTCTTGAAGTAGGATCTAAATAATATGAAAAATTGTGGTTTCCTTTATGTTGTGTATTCCTGATAATGTTTGAATAATATATTCATCTTACAGATTTCCATAGAAATACATTGGCCTTTACCAAACTATTTCATATAACTCAGATAACCCACAATTTCACTTGTTCCACATGATATTAATAAATATTCCAAAAAACAGCATTCCTTGGTTTGCAGAGCATTGCAGGTGCTATATATTTTCCTTGTAGAGTTTTATAGACTTCGTTTTCATATGAGTGGCTCTGAGAGACCTTACAGTAAAATAATAATACTGACGATGCTGTTAAACCAAATCTATTTTCTAAACAGTTTGAGAAATGCCAAAATATGTATAATGCATTATGTGGTTGAATGTATTAATGGATAATGTTACACAGTTACATCGGTTAGGGTACAACCAGATACCATAAACAGAGTGTCGTCTTGCTTCTACTGTTTATATGACAAAGAATTATATGGTCTTGTCCTAAATTTGACAACTATAGACTGGAAACTAGATTATTATCAAACTCTTTTCCACCACTTCTCCCACATAAATGAAACTTTTCTGTTTTATTGTTGTTGTTTTGGTTGGTTACCAGGGATTGAACTCAGGGGCACTCAACCACTGATCCATATCCCCAGCCCTGTTTTGTATTTTATTTAGAGACAGGGTCTCACTGAGTTGCTTAGTGCCTCACTTTTGCTGAGGCTGGCTTTGAACTTGCAATCCTCCTGCCTAAGGCTCCTGAGCTGCTGGGATTATAAGCATGAGCCACCACACCCAGCTTTTTCTATATTTTTAATCCCTTTGTTTCAATTTTGTTTCCCCCCCCTTAATCTTTTTAATCCATGACAGTAAGACCTCTCAGAGGTTGGATCTAACCCATCATTATTTAGGAAAAAGTTTTACTAATGCCAGTCTATCTGTGCCTGCTTTCCTGCCTCACCGTCCAGCTCTGCCCTATTCACAGGAAATTTGTTTGATATGACAAGGTAACCTTCTGAATTTTTTCTTCAAGAAGCCCATCTATCTATCTTGTGTTCAATCAAATCTATTCCTAGATTTCCCACGTGACAGGAAATACTAATGTGTGTCAGATTGTCAAATGACATTCCTTTCATGAGACACAGGGATATTTTAATATAGAATAATACTTACATTGCAAAGCACTAGGTCTTGTGTAGTATAATTCTAATCCCCAGAAGTAGACTCTGATTTAGTTCCACAGGTTCATATCGAATGCTCTGGTAGACCATAGGGTTTGATACCTTTTGATCTCCTAGTCTTCTGGGTTCTATACATTGAGTTTTTAGGAGTGACTAATGACAAGGAAAAAAGAAGTACAGATATCTTTAATTTGAGATCCTGTACTAGCACAAAGAAAGTAATTTCTTTGCATTAATTCACATGGAATTAATTTGTTTTCTTTTCTTTTCTTTTTGGTGTATAAGTGGTGACTTTGGTGGCTATGCATACAATGTCTTTCAGGTCTGTTATCCAGCAGTAGACATGGTTTCCAACTAGTGGCGATTTTGATTTATCCACCACTTTTTTACATTCCACCTGTACTACTGGATCATTCTACCTTCTGTCTCCAGAGCAATCCTAAGGGGATACTGTCAATACATTTGGTTGGTCTCAAAGATTGTTACCTAAACAGTAAGCCAGTGCTTATCTTTGCTCACAGGGGTGCGTCTTGACAGAGTACGTGGAGGTCGGCAGAAGTACAAGCGCAGAATAGACGCAGAAAACAGCCCATACCTGAACCCTCAGCTGGTTCAGCCAGCCAAAAAGCCATGTAAGTACCACAGATGTGTCTGGCTTCCCAGAGCACGAAATCCTCCCAGTTGGCTCTATGTATATCCATGTTGGCATGCCCAGCTCTACTGACTCCAAGGATTTCTCTTTGTTGGAGAACAGTAGTTCTCTTCCCATGAACTGTCTGTGAGGAGCAATGGCAACTCAACTAATTATCTTTTATTTTTTTCTTTTAAAGATGTCTTTAGTTTTTTTCCCTTACCTTTTAGCTTGTCATTTGTGGAAGCATAAGCATATTAATGCAGAGCTTATATAGTATGAATTTTACATTTACTGGTTATCTTTATTTGCGGAGCTACATAAAATGGATCATACTGTGATCATTAGTTCATTGGAGCTGTTAGTTTCGGATTTCACAAGAAAGTGATTTTTGTAGTTTTCACTAACTAAATGAGTTTGGCTGCTCAACCTCCCAATGAAAATACATTAGGGGCCTCATTAATTTGGAGCTATAGAAGGTTAACACTCTAGATAGCAATAGATTAAAACAAGAATGAACCCTACTAATAACAAGCATAGGTTGGTGGTTCCATCTCAAATGCCCTTATGGGCATTATGAATTGTTTTTAAAGAGCTCATGGTTTTATGATGCCAGGTTGCAATTTGATAGGATGACAGGTACATTGCTAAAATGCAAACCCCATTCTCCTTGTCATTAACTAAAAAGAGCTGGAATATAGATTGAAGCAATAACTGCATCCCATTTTCTGAAAAATCAGTTAATAGCTGTAGTGCAACAGAGCTAGCAATTTAGGGTGTTTATGCATAGAGTTCATACTAGGCACTGGGAAGTGCTTTGAAAGAAAGAATTCTCACAGTTAGCCCTCTTTGTCACAGAAGACACAACACACTCTAATCAGAGGAAGTTGCCTCTGCAGCATTCTAGAAAAGGAGTGGGGAATTTTTGATCTGCTTTCAAGGGAGGAGAAAGTATCCACTTCTAATTCAGATTCTCCAGGAGGGGTCACTGCTGTGCATCATCCATGTGAGCATATGGGAATCTGTTAAATAAATAAAGCAGACCCTGAACTGTAAATGAAAGGACATTTTAGCTATGTCAAAGGAAAAACATCCAGTTTTACATAAAATTAAAGCTTAAGTGAACATATGGCATAGTTTCCTTTTGCCTTTCCAAAAAACATTATGTTGATTATACCTTCAATTGTCCAATCTGGCATCCTCTCCTCAGCCTACATAAGCTGTTTGGCATTCTGCAAATACAATCTAGGACTACATTAAGCAGATTTTGCACATTATAATAAAAAACTTTCTGATAATACAATAAAATGCAATAAACACTAATGCTTAATTTCATTAGAGGTTTAGGTTTAGTTTTCCTTGATTCAATAATACACAGATTGCCCATTTCTCATTTATTTTATGCTAACATTGATTGAAGCCATTGATAATTTCCTTTATGGAAAGAAAAATGAGCACCAGCCCATTTGTAAGTCAACACGATAGAGGAATATCTATCGTTTTCTATGTAAACCTGAGAAATTGGGAAGTGGCTTGTCAAGTACCTTTAAGAAGATTACGGCAATTTCAGTGAGCTCCATTTGTCTGAGATAAAAAGGACTCCTAATAAATCATTACTCATTATCTAAGGGCCTCTGTGTTAATTTTCCTCAGTCCATCCAATTAGTGTGTTTTTGTAACAAACATTTATAAAACTTAATTTTCAGATCCTGTCAGATAAGCGTCAAGAGACTGTGCATGGGCTCTGCTGAGAATGTGGTTGGGGAGATTTCTGCACCCTGACTGATGTTTGTGTACTACAAAGGCCCAAGATTGAAAATTGGGTTCTATTGATTCTAATTAGGGAAACATTAAATAAGATTTACCTAGAAACAGTGCTGCTGGCTATTCCATTTTCTGAACGCTGGGAATTTCTGAGCTTTAACGAAATATCTCTGATCCCCTGAGTCAAATATCCATTGACTTGGGTAAAACAGGTTGCATTTTACCTGTGTTTAAAAAAAAATCTAGAATGGTGATTTCCTTCAGTTACATGTTTGTGCCCTTTACCATTGCATTTTCTTCTAATCCTGAGAATCTAGTAGTTGCTGACAGGTTTTGCTGCATTGTCAGAGCAATGAAAGTTGAAACTTTTCCAAGCGAAACCAAAAATACAGGGTGTTATTTCTGTAGCATACCTGAGAAACAAATGTCATTCTTTGTAGATCCTACGAATTAAAAAGAATGCATTTAATTTTTAATTTTTCTAGAATGCATGGTATTTGGGAATATTTCCTCCCAAATCCACATACACAGTTTAATGATTATTGACTATTATTGCCAATGATGACTGATTCTCTGGTGACTATTTGAAAGAAATATAATTCATAGCCATATTAGTAAATTTTAAAAAACATCATGCTAGGAAAAGTCTCAATTGTAGCTTGGATAAATCTTGTTATTTCATGAAAGAAAACTAAAAGGGATGCTGTATTTAATTCTACATTATGTGCAGTGTTGTCATTTTAGGTTAAAAAAGTTAAAAACTCAATGAAAGGCAAATGGTCTCATAGATACAGTGGAAACTTTGACTTTGTTCACAAACAGCCTATTTAATATCCTGGTTTTCTAGAATAATAATACATAGAATATTTAAATATGTAGGTTTATTCTCACCCATTCATATCTGCACACAGAGAAGAAAGTATAAAATCTAAAGTAACATAGAGAAATTGAAAATGGGTCCAACAAGAAAAATTGTTCTGTTAGCCAGGATTTCCAACCCCTTCCATAAACTCTCACATGCCCCTGAGGAATAAAACACATTTGATGTGAGGCTTTCCATTTGTCTCTAGTGTTTATTTTATGAAGGATTCTTAAAACATATATCACAAATTTCAGACAGATAAATCTGAACCAGAGAATGAACTAAGGACAACAGATGAAAATGGAGGATTAAAGAATTAGGCACTCAGAGGAGAAAATACTGCAACATTTAAGTAGGAGTATTTTTATGGAAAAAAAAATTAAGCTATATTTCGAAGGTTGACTGGGTATCTGGGGAGGGGGAGAAAGGAAAGACTTTCTATTGAATGCATCCCACAGAGATAGAGTTATATAGTCAGTAATTCACCCAGGCAGAAGGGCTCCGACCTTTGCTCCGCTTTAAAGGAATTAAGACAATTAATGACTTTCATGCCCATTATGACTATGGGCATTAGTTCTCTGCCTTCTGCATTACAGTCTATATTTCAGTGGTTCAGTGTGTTTTTTTTACTTTACAGCTATTGCATACTATTTAATCTGATTTCCCAAATCCCACTTAAGAATCCGATAGTAAACCCAGAAAGCATCTAACTTCTTTTATCTGTTTGTTATAAAAAAAAAAAATTCACTACAGGACAGATGCTTCATTCCCGCAAAAGCAGGTAAAGCAAAGAAGAAGAAAAATGTTCCATTGTGTTTGCAGTGGTGCCTTCCTTGCTATGAATTTTCCTGAACACTGTTTAATACCTATATATATTAAACCACAAATGTAATATTTTGAGCTTATTGTAGGTTATTTGAATGATTTTTTTTTTTAAGACAAAGAATACTTTAGGGCTTGTAAAAGAGGGATGATACTGCTAGTGATGCTGTAGTACTCTGGTCTGATCCTGCAGATAACAAGATTGTCTCACATCTGTTGGTGGCTGAACCGGAGAAGATCTATGCCATGCCTGACCCTACTGTCCCTGACAGTGACATCAAAGCCCTCACTACACTGTGTGACTTAGCCGACCGAGAGTTGGTGGTTATCATTGGATGGGCGAAACATATTCCAGGTACATTTTCTGAAAATAAAAGAAAAAGAGAAAAGAAAAAGGTTGACATTAATTCTCTGGGTTTATATATATATATATATTTGGGCAAATTAATCATTTTCTCATAAGATTTTTTTTTGAACTTCCCATTTGTTTTTTATCACACTTAATTTAGAGCTTTGCTGATTTGATGAATAGAATCATAAGCCTTTATATATGTGTACCACCTTAAGCTCTCACTTATATTTCATATATGAAGGTACTATTGCAAGTATAAGATAAAGAGAATTTAAGTCTTAAAGACGTAGTTTTATTGTTTTCAATTCTGAGCCATTTCCTAAGGTAATGATTCTACTTTTTCTCTTCACTGTAAAAAATGTTTTTGTCAGCATTAGTCTAATTACCATTTTCTTCCTTTTAGGAATTACTTATTTTGTTTCTCATGGTGGCTATTTGCAATGAATTTCCTTTTCTATTCATAAACTTGGGTTTACAATTAGATACTTACAAGCATTTATATAGAAATTCTTAAAATATTGAAGCGACATGGGAAATTTTTTCATGTGGCAATTTAAAGTTAGTATTTTAAAATATTCTATTATATTTCTTTCTTGTCTTATCCAATAATGTCAGTAAACATGTACATGATCACAAGTTTTGAGAATTTCAGTATCCTACTTGAATTATTTTTTATTTGTTTGGACTTTGATCTTCAAATAGTTTATAAACAAGTTTTTGATGATGAACAATGTTTTTCTGGTACAGTTAACTTATTTCTGTCTCCTTAAACTAGTTTGTCTTTATGCTTTGAATGCTACAGTAATTTCTTTAATCAAATTGATGGAAGTCCCTTTCCCAGCCCACACTGAAACCAATTTATTGGTCATGATACGCCAGCTATGTTGCTAACAGTCGTAACGAACTGTCAGGCGATATCGCAGTGAAGCTAATTTGAAGTCATTAGGTGTGCAGCGTTCAGGCGACAATTTGTTACAGTGGTTAGGAACACAGCTGACATTTCTGAATGGCTTTGTTCAGTGTAGTTCTAGATGAGGCCAAGCAAATTGTAAACTAATTTAAACATCACTCTGTATTATACCAGCTACTTTGTCTTACACTGTTTGCTAATAAAGCACCCCAAATTAAGTCAAAACTAGTTAAATAGGTGAGCTGGAATCTATTCTTTAGAAAATGCCCATGCAGGCATTAGTATATCTATAAGAAAGATAAGAATTTGATAATGTGAGTGATAGTGCATTTGGATTGTAACTACGTCGATCATACAAAAATGAAAAAAGGGAGAAATTTACTAAAAGATATTAAAATATTTGGTTACCTTGATAATGGGAATATCCAGAATTTGCAAAACAGGACATGAAAACTTGTTTGGAAGGCAATTGTTATTGAAGGGTTTTATAGTAGAAGCAAAACTAACATCTGTTGAAGTATCCTTAGACATTTCACATAATCACATAATCAATATGATTTATATTAATATATAGCATATCATTATTACATACATGTACCCATGCATATACACACTTACAAATATATATATTTATAATAAGATTATTCTAATCCAGGGTTTTTCAGCCTTGGTACTATTGATATTTGGGACTAGATAATTCTTTTGTAGGCAGTTGTCCTGTTCATTATAAGATGTTTAGTGGCATCCTTGGCCTCCACCCACTAGATGCCAGTGGCACCCCTAATGAAAATGTCCTCAGACGTTGCCACATGTCTTCACAGGGATAAAACTACACCAGCCTATCCCTCCTTCCCACAAATAAACCATTGTTCTAACCCAGGAATCATGTATGATTATCATCATTTCAAAGACAGATTTGAGGCAGAAAAGTAAAAAAAACACTTGCACAAGTTCATCAACATATCCAGTGCCTTCAAAACATATATTCAGCATTGCTTCCTGGGATAGAATTAGGATATTTTAGCCTCTAAGTTGATTACATTTGAAAAAAAACTATTTCAAAATATTTAGGATGATAGTATTATTGTTGTTAGTGTCAAGAACATGAAGGGGTATGTCACTATGAGTCCAGACTACATATTACTTCTGCAAACTTTGCTCAAGTCTCCCTGAAACAAGGGATTTTTCAAGCCAGTATTTTTATTTCATCCAGACATGTTATAGTAAAGACTACTAAAAGTTAACAACTTCTTCCAAACCTTCTGGAAAGGAAAAGTCAGTGATAAACTTTCAGGTCTGGTTGTGCATCTAAGTAGAAACGTCAGCTTATAAAGGAACTTATTAAAGTAATGGGGCTCTAGTGACTTTTGAAAAGATGGTAACTTTAAATAACTATGAGCAACACTATTTTCAGTGGTGGAAACAATTACTATACGATTATGTGCTCAGTCTTAAGCTGAGGCTTAGAGTTGGTGGGGACTGATGTTATTCTCTTTCCATGGCAAATGCCAGAGGAGGTCACTGTGGAGTGATGATTCACAGCTCTGATTTTCGTAATACCCTGAGGGTATTTTAAATGATTGCAAGGAATATCTTGCTTTTCAGAAGGGGATTAGCAAAACAGGAGTTAAACAAAATTCTTTTTAATTTTTTAATGCATGTACCATCCAGTGTTTTGAGGTGGTAGAGAGGGTGCTCAGCCCTCAAAATACGCTGGTTTACCCTGGCTTCATGACAACAGAAAACGACACAGAGGTATGTAGAGCACCGACAGGGAGGTAAAAGCAAAGAGAACATAAAGAATGAAGTCACATTTCTGCGTTGATACAAGTAAAATCATGTTCTTGATATATGAACCAGTCTTGATAAGTTAGGTCAGAGTCAGAATTAAAGACTAGTCAGAACTGAAATTTCCCATCTTAGTTTTAACTCCACAACTCATTGTTTTTATAAAGCTTACATTAAAAGGAAAGCAAACTCTTTTTTAAAAATAAACTAAAATTTGAGTCTTTGTTATCTTTCTGCTTCTCTCAGCTTGTGTATGCACACACATACTCTCTTTAAAGTTTAGCATCTCAGATCAAATCAGTAGCCCTTCTGACTGCTAAGAATGAGCTTTTGTACACTTGCTTTTGCTACAGAAAAAGTGAAGAATTCAACAAAAGAAAACATTGAAGAAAAATACATATGGAGTGGGGTTTTTATCAGTAAATAGAATTAGTTGACTTACATTAATAAATCACATAAATGGGAAAGTGTGTTGTTATGAAACATGACCGTACTTTATCTATAGAAGAAAAAAGATCACAAGGGCTTTAGAAAATGCTTGACTTTAGCTGGAGGAGCATAAGGGCACAAGAACAGATGATGGTGCCCTAATAGCCCTTTTTAAGAATGACAGGGCCCCGCCATTAGCATCCTTTTATATCCTTGGAAATTGCTCATGCCTCGCTTTTCTGGTTCCTATCTGCCTGACTCTTTTTTATTTCTCTTTCAATTTCGTCCGCGCTCGGATAAGCGCATGCTAACACAATATGATTGAGCTGTAAAATGGAACGCTGTCGCCTCTAATCTCTTTTATGTAGATACGGAGGTACTGCACACTCGACTTCATTCTCTCCCCATTGTTGGCCTTTTTTAGAATGGGTTGCCAAGTAATGGAGGCTCTGTCAAATATTAGAGCTAGGTTTCACAGGATGTGATAAGACGATTATCAGCCCAACAGTCAGATCTATTATTGTTCTTGGTGGTTGATTAAAATATTATTATGTGCTGGAACTTTGTTAACAAAATGCAGAAATGTGCTTAGTCAGATGGTGTTTTATTAAAAAAAAAAAGTGTAACCCATATTAGCTGACCTATATAAGTGGTTTAAGTGTATTTACAGATCTTGTCAGCTTACTTTAAAAGAACAGAAAAGTATTTGAACAGTTAAATAAATGGATGTGTTTTAGATTTTTTTTTTCCTTTTTCAATGTAGTAAATGTTCAGACTGACTTATTTATTTTTAACATGACAAATTCAACAGTGACCTAGTCATGAAAAAGGACTTAGCTCAAATTTGGGGACCTCTTATTCACATTATTAAAAGAATGCCTATTATGATGCATTAAACAGGAAAAGAAAAACCTATAATTTTCTTCATATCAAGTGGAGGCAGGAGATATTAAGCTCTAAAAGAAAACCACATGATTAAGATGATGTTATAAAATAGTCTTTAAGTATATTTCTTCATGTAAGAAACAGAAAGCTAAACTATAGGAACCAATATTTTCCATTTACCCTGAAACACTTTTTTGTAAAAACATGCAGTTATGAGAATGTATCAAAAATGACTCATTGGCTTGTCTTTTTTATAATTTTCTCAGAAAAAGAATTTAGACTTGCCTACAATGATGGAAATCTGTAAAGAATATGAATTAAACTCTCTGTTAGGGCATAAGTTTTTCAAAAGAATAACTAAGAATATTTGGACAATTATTGCTAATGATACTGTTTGGAGTTATACTTATTGTTCAAACAAGTTTTATGTAGAGGCCAAATTTTAACACCACATTCTTTCCCAAGTTAAGTTATAAAAGTTTCACTTTAGTAATACATATTGCTAGATATTAGTGTATAAAATGCCCATCTTAAGCTACTTGTAGCATCATTAAGTGGTTAGGATGTACAAAAGCACATGAAATAGGGCAGAAATAATTACCATAAGATTATATTCCCATTTGTAATTCAAAATATATTTCCATGTGTTTCACAAGCGATTATCGTTTGATGGATAAGAAGCAGGGCTTGGTTGACTAATGATGAATCACACACCATAAGCAAGTAGCATGTAGGACTGGGGTTGTGGCTCAGTGGTAGAGCACTTGCCTAGCACACGTGAGGCACTGGGTTCAATCCTCAGCACCATATAAAAATAAATAGAATAAAGTCATTGTGTCCATCTATACCTAAAGAAAAAAAAATATATTTTTTTTAAAAAAGTAGCATCTGATAGTTTATTTTGAATTTATATGATTGGAACTTGGTAAATGTGTATTAATTAATTGATTTAAAAATTTTGTTGCACTAAACTTTAATTGCTCCCTAAATT